TTCCAAGGTATCCAGTAAGAACTCAGCCACATGAAGGAAGCTGTGAGAGGCAAGGCTCCAGTTACGATGGATGTCTTGGTACAACAGACTAAATTTTTGTTCACCACTGGCGTGTTGCATTTTTTCCTCCTTCTGAAATTCAGAATACCGCAGATAGAGGCTTTTGATGGAACAGAGGATCCCGTAGATCACCTTAACACTTACAAGAAGCAAATAGAGTTGCATGGATACCAGGATCCAGTGCGCTGTAGAGCCTTTGCCATCACGCTGAAAGGCTCAGCCCTGGCGTGGTTCAATAGGCTCCCCCCTACCTCAATTTCCTCCTTTAAGGAGCTATCCATATCCTTTGTATCTTACTTCATAGGAGCTCGAACATACAGAAAGCCGAGTTACCACCTGTTGAATGTGAAGCAGGGACCCCAAGAGAACCTCAGATCCTATGTTCAGAGGTTCAACTCTAAATCACTAAAAGTGGATGTCCCAGATGAGAAATTTGTCATTACTGTATTCATAGCTGGTTTAGACGTACAATCTAAAGACTTGGTGTTCTCTATTTCAAAAAATTCTTAGGCCAGTATGGCCAAAGTATTGGCCAAGGCAGAAAAGTACATAAATGGCAAAGGAGCTCTCCTCTCAAAAATGGGGAACTCATCCATGCAAAGAAACAAAGAGAAAGAAGAGAAAAAGGATGAGATAGTCCCCAAGGAGAAACAGAAATCGATCCCCCAAAAGAAGGGGAGACGTCAGATATCGCTTGAGACCACCTCATCCAGAGTTGCAGCCGAGGTAAGCACCTCGACAGGTCCCTCCATTCACCGCAACAATATCGCAAATCTTATATGAGGTACAAAACGAAAAATTCTTGAGGTGGCCACCCCGAATGAAAGCCGACCTGGCAAAAATTTTACCCCACTCCTGGAATGCAGAACATCTTAGAAATTTTTTTCAATAAATTTGTCATGTAATATAATTATTAATAAAGTAGCAAGTCTGTGGTTCATTCACTCGTACGAAGAGCCCGAGAGCTCACGACGAACTCATTAGTCCTTAATAAGAGCCCTGAAGCTCACGATGAACTCGTTAGTTCAACAAAAGAGCACTGGAGCTCACGATAAACTCGTTAGTTCATAAAAAGAGCCTTGAAACTCACGATGAACTCGTTAGTTCATAAAAAGAGCTTGGAAGCTCACGACGAACTCGTTAGTTCATAAAAAGAGTTTAGGAGCTCACGACGAACTCATTAGTTCATAATAAGAGCTTGGGAGCTCACGACGAACTCATTAGTCTGTAATAAGAGCCCTGAAGCTCACGACGAACTCGTTAGTTTATAAAAAGAGCACTGGAGCTCACGACGAACTCGTTAGTTCATAAAACGGGCTTGGGAGCTCACGACGAACTCATTAGTTCATAAAAAGAGCTTGGGAGCTCACGACGAACTCGTTAGTTCATAAAAAGAGAGCTCTCCGGAGCTCATGACGAACTCATTAGTTCATAAAAAAAGTCTTAGAGCTCAAGATGAACTCGTTAGTTCATAAAAAGAGCCCTGGAGTTCACGAGGAACTCGTTAGTTTATAAAAAGAGCCCTAGAGTTCACGACGAACTCGTTAGTTCATAAAAAGAGCTCGGGAGCTCACGATGAACTCGTTAGTTCATAAAAAGAGCTCGGAAGCTCACGACAAACTCGTTAGTTCATAAAAAGAGTTCGGGAGCTCACGATGAACTCGTTAGTTCATAAAAAGAGCCCTGGAGCTCACGACGAACTCATTAGTCCGTAATAAGAGCCTTAGAGCTCACGATGAACTCGTTAGTTCATAAAAAGAGTCCTGGAGCTCACGACGAACTCATTAGTCCGTAATAAGAGCCTTAGAGTTCACGATGAACTCGTTAGTTCATAAAAAGAGCCCAGGAGCTCACGACAAACTCATTAGTCCATAATAAGAGCTTTAGAGCTTACGATAAACTCGTTAGTTCATAAAAAGATCTCGGGAGCTCACGACAAACTCATTAGTTTATAAAAAGAGCCCTAGAGTTCACGATGAACTCGTTAGTTCATAAAAAGAGCCCTGGAGTTGACGATGAACTCGTTAGTTCATAAAAAGAGCTTGGGAGCTCACGACGAACTCGTTAGTTCATAAAAAAGCTCAGGAGCTCACGACGAACTCATTAATTCATAAAAAGAGCCCTAGAGCTCTCGATGAACTCGTTAGTTCATGAAAAGAGCCCTGGAGCTCACGATGAACTCGTTAGTTCATAAAAAGAGCTCGGGAGCTCACGACGAACTCGTTAATTCATAAAAAGAGCCCTGAAGTTCATGACGAACTCGTTAGTTCATAAAAAAAAGCCCGAGAGCTCACAACGAACTTGTTAGTTCATAAAAAGAGCCCTAGAGCTAACGAAGAACTCATTAATTCATAGAAAGAGCCCTGGAGCTCACGACGAACTCATTAGTCCATAAAAAGAGCCTTAGAGCTCACAACGAACTCGTTAGTTCATAAAAAGAGCCTTAGAGCTCATGATGAACTTGTTAGTTCATAAAAAGAGCCTTGGAGCTTACGGCGAACTCATTAGTTTGTAATAAGAGCCCTGGAGCTCACGATGAACTCGTTAGTTCATAAAAAGAGCTCGAGAGCTCACGACAAACTCGTTAGTTCATAAAAAGAGCTTGGGAGCTCACGACGAACTCGTTAGTTCATAAAAAGAGCCCTAGAGCTCACGATGAACTCGTTAGTTCATAAAAAGAGCTCTGGAGCTCACGACGAACTCATTAGTCCGTAATAAGAGCCTTAGAGCTCACGATAAACTCGTTAGTTCATAAAAAGAGCCCTGGAGCTCACGTTGAACTTATCGGTCCATAAAAATAGCTCAGTAGCTCAGGACGAGTTCTTCTGTCCCTAAAGCAAACACAGTAACTCAGAATGCGCTTCCCGGTCTAGAAGAACTAAAAGCAAGACCTGCAGCACGTAGACTAGAGGGAAAGCTTCACAACTACTATCCATTACAGAAAGGAAAAATAGGGGCCTTTGGTCCACAAGTCAGGAAACGACATGGAAGATTAGCTGCCAGATTCTAAAAGCCACAAATTGTGTATAAGAAGCGGCAAACATGGAAAGGGAAAATCAAGGTTTTAAGAACATCAAAGATTACAAAAAAATCAATCAAAGCAAAATTCTTAGTCGTCTCTGTAGTTCGGCTATTCTCTCTTTCAAACACAGGTTTTCCTCCTTCAGTTCATCCCTCTCTTTCTCAGTCGCTGACAGTAGATCTATCAATTTTTGCCCAGCAGAGGAAAACAGAACTTCCCCTAGGAAAGATCTGGATGAAGGAAATGATGAACCATCCTTCTTGCGTTTCTTGATATGAGTCCCAACATCATCGCTCTCATCAGACTCGGTAGAAGAGAGATCAGATTCAAGAAAAAAGGAAAAGTCCCGTTCAGCTGCAGCGGCGCTAAACAAGAACAGATTATCTGGCATCATGAGATCAGGAAAAGACATGGGCTCAGCTTGGGTCATTTGTTCCACCCTCATCAATTCAAGCAGGTGTAGGTCAGGAGCACCTACATGCAAAAAAAAAAAAAAAAAATCCCGTGCAAACTTCAAAGTCTCTGATTAAGAAACCATTCTGCTACATCTTAAGCTCAGTCCTAGCCCAAGCCAGCTTGACCAAGACTGGGGGGCAACTGATGGTACTTAGAGCAATTCCCAAGTATGAGCTCGAGAGCAGAGGTCAGACGCACATAGCTCATAAAACCAGAGTAAAGCTCAGCCCAATTGAAGTGGCAGCGGAAGTAATAAAGAGATAGCTATTTGTCAACAGAAACCCTAGAGGCGACAAAGAGTCATAATCGAAGCATAAAACTCTCATCCAGGAAAGATCTCCCCCTAACATCAAGGAGGATTCCTCGGATAAATGGCGAAGATCTCGGGGCAGATCCCGCAGAATTAGGAAAAATCCTATAAATACTATGTAATGCCCCCAACAGAGGGGCGGAACCCTAGTATCATATCTTACATTCTGTAAACCTTTTGGTATAGTAAATAGTGAAGGAAGGAGCAAGAATCTCCATTAAAGAGTGGATTAGCCGAGCTCCTGAGCTGGTGAAGCACTATATTTCTACTATGTTAATTCCTCAACTCCCCAACAATTCTCAGTATCATTCCCTCGAGTCTAGTAGCTCAGATCCCAATAATTCCAATATTGTTTCTTTCATTTACTCGTCATCACAAAATTGCATCACGTTGAAATACACCATCAATCATTATTTGGAAAAAAGAAAGATTTGGTTTTTGGGCTTTTTGTATTGGCTGTTGCTCTTTTTAGTTGTGATTCTAATTTATTCTTCGCATGTGTTGATTCTGATTCTCACTTTGGTTGGAGCTTATACAAACATTTATTGCTTAATCCTTTGAATATAAGCCGTTGTTGAAAGTTGAGATATAGTTTATCAAAAGTTTTTCATATTTATCATTTTAAAATGCTTAAGAACAAGTGTCTTAGCTAGTTTCCCCTCAAAGTGAACTTCGAATATCTAAATCTCTGTTAAATAGTGCATAAGAATTTGAGCATGGAACCTGACATTTTACAAGAATCTGTGCCATTTCCTTCTGTCCACCTTTGAAATGTTCCTTTGCAAATACTTCTTAAAAAGACGTCTGAATGGTGAACCAAGTTGAAGTTAACAAACTAAGAGCACAGTAGTGATGAAGAATCTTTAATATCTCTCTCACAAAAATTAAGGTTGTCAAAAGGTATCGATTAGGGTGAGTTATTTCTTAATTACATAGAATGCTGAATTCAAGTTTTCATTTCTTCTGGGTGTTACATGAAAGCAAGATTTGTTGAATTTCTCCTTTCTTTTCCTGTCGTTATAATTTGTTGGATTTCTCTTTAGACATGTATGCATTCCTTTCCATCCAACAATTCGGTTGCAGTATGATAGAATTACTGTATTGGAAGTTATATATATGCAATTTGTATTCTTAGAACCTAATTGGTTCATTATGCAAGTATCCAGTTGTTTGTATGAAGAGTTTTTTTGCTACTCTTATTTAGTCATCTTTGTTGTTGTACCTTTAGGAGTTTGATCATTGTTAGAAGGGTGGAAAATCTTGCAATTCGACGTAAATGTACAAGTTTGGTATTTGTGAGTAGTTGGACAAGGTGCTTTGTTAAAGCTATGTTAAGAGTTCATTTGCAGGATTTGTTTTTGCCGTCTCTATCCTTCAGCACCAGTATAGCCATGTCATTCAACTCAACTAATCAAAGCCTTGTCCTAACTATTAGGTGTCAGTTAAATGCAGCATGTTCTGTCATTGTGTTATATTTACAGGTTGTACTTCTGTTAATCCGCAAGCTGTCGTGTCTTTTTTACAATCTTATTCAAAGTGGATGTTGTTCTATCTCTGCCACCAGTGTATTGTTGGTTTAAGTTGCATTTACTTTGTTTATATTAGGTGAAATGCTTATATGTGCAGGTATGTCCAGTTTGTGCAAAAAGGGTGGGGATGGATTTGGTTGGGCATATTACCACACAACATGGAACTCTTCTCAAGATATCCTTTTTACTCAAGTTGAACGTTGCTATGTTTAGGTTTTTGCATTTATTTTGGTTTCAAATTTGGGAGAATGACATGATTAAGATCCATACTTATTGTTGATGTAACATATATGTGGATATTGCATCCGCATGTTATTGACAACAATTTTATGTCTTTGGCTGGTTCTACTAGAAGTTGTGCATGCAGCATCAAAAAATAGTCCCAACAGCTCTGACCAATCAGAAATTTACAAACAAAAGTAGAATTCTGGTTCAACAGCATCATGAGGACAAAGCTTGCATGAATTTGTGTTTTCCTTATTACTTACTAACCAGAACTAGAGCTTTTGTGCTAATTGGAACCAGCTAGGTTCGAGACTTCTGTGAATGTTTTTATTTGTCTAAAGATTAGCATTATGTCTTCCCAGTTTTGTCTTATAGTTGAGATGAAACAAGTAAACAAATTTCTTTCACTAGGTTTTTCTACTTGTTTTTATTGATTTTCAGACAAGATTCAATTGCAGACACCACCACGAGAATTTTTTCCAACCTGATGTGTTATGGTGATTCCATTAATGTTCAGATTTGATAAGTTGTTTTCCAACATGATTGAAAAAATGGACGAGTCTGTCTCTGTCGTTCTAACTGCTTTTCTGTTAGATGCATTTCTGCTCATTAAAATAGTTTTCTTTTAATCCTGGTGTGTCTTCCACCGTTCTTTTGTCATATGCATTTTGTTGTGGGCTTTCCTTCCTTGCATATTTGTTTTGTTAGGGTTTGAATATTTTTTATGTTCTATGGTGAGTATTTTGCTCCTTTTTGGGGTTTTGACAACCATTTTAATTGCCCTCCATGTCCATGAAGCATCTATTTTAGTAAGTCATGCAGCTGTTTGATATTTTTTTCGAACGTGGATTGTCGTAGTTCTCCTTGACTAGAGATTACCTGCAGCGCAAGAGGAGATTCCGTAGGGGTGGATCTAATTCCACATTTTCCATACTGAGAAAAGAGTTGCGGGAAGGAAATCTGCAATCATTTCTTGGGGGGTCTTCACTCTTGGTTTCTTCCTCCAATAGTGAACCTGATCCATTGTTGTCTTCATTTATATACAATCCACCAGTGCTCAATCAACCTACTACTGTTCAGCTTCATTCTTCAGCTGAATCAAGTGCAGTAGAGGAAAGTTACATTGAGGATTCATCAGAAAGGTACGAGCATTTGCACTAACTCAAAATTTCTTTTTGTTTGTATCCTTTTTTTTTTTTGTGTGTTTTGTTGTTTTTTTTTTTTGGGTGGGTGGGTGGGGGGGAGATGCATATTTATTGATGTTTGAGAAATAGACGGGAAAAGTGGCGAATCACTGTGGCATTATAAGTAGATCAGAATCTGCGTTGCTTGTTTGTCGATTTTTTATCTCCTTACCTTACATGTTCAAGTAGACAATGACCTGACAAAAAAAAAAAAAGAGAGAGAGAAGGCAATGACCTTCAAGTTTCATATATTTTTTTTTTTTGGGAGGGGGAGGGGGAGGGGAGAAGGGGACTTGAACCCTTAACAAGAAGATATAGCTTTCACAAGGCAAGAAGAACCATTGGACCAAAGGCATAAAATGTCATCTTGGAGTTCAAATGTTTTCCAGTCTAATGGCAATATAGTTGCATTTTTACCCCTCATCTTATGCTTCTGTTAAAAATTGTTTTTTCGTATTCTGTACCTGAGAGATTAAGTGCAGTAATGAAATTTCCAAGAAATATGTATCACTCATTTGGTAAATTTGTAATGATGTCCTTATCCAGCTCCCCAGGTTCCTCAGGTAATTTATATCGTTTGGAGCCCCTTTCTTGCTTATTGTATCCTTTGATTTCATTCTTCCTGACAACAGTTGTTATCTAGTATAGTGTTCATTAGTTTTGTGTTAGGATTATATGTGAATATCTTTTTAAAAGCTTTCTTATATTGTGTCTTACACCGTGTGGTGGCAGAAGTATGCCGGAATCGCCACTATCAGACAAGGACCACGAAGAGAAAGCTCGTAAATGCGAGTTTGTCCAAGGCCTTCTGCTGTCCAGTTTTCTTGATGACAACTCGTGAATTGAAGAGAGAGAGAAGAGTAGTGGATAAGTTTAACTTACATTTCTAATGATGGGGATGCATTTTAGAGAGAGAGAAGAGGATACTATGCGCTGTGCCATCTGTGGAAATAGTTAAGCTAGAGGAACTTTGTATTACCTATTGTATTTAAAGCTTATTATGTGTATAATGGAACGTGGAACAACTTATTTTAGTTGGTGTGCTCTCTTGCTTTTTAGATGTGTGTTTGTAAGCAATTATGGTTCAAATTAAACCCAAAAGGATAGTTCAATTGGTACCAAGAACGAATTATAAATTAGACATCTTGAATTTGAATCTAGACAACTTTAGACCTGTCCTATGGATGACCCTGGGTTATTAATCAAACCAAAAAAAAATTATGGTTCAAATTAAGAAAACAAGATAATGGAGAAATTGTATCTCTGATTTGAACTCAAATTCCATTTCCCTGTAATACCCCGTGGAAAGAAAAGCTCGAAACTACCTTTGAGGACTCCTTTTCTGCCAAAATGAAACAGTTAAATGGCCTCTACAGGCTTGAAGTTTCCTCTCCTAATCTGCAAGGACAGATAGAGACATATATACATAACCATTGTAGCCTATTCTCGAGTCTCACAGCCATAACAGAGAAAAACACTATTGATTATCGACTTGAAAATATGATATATATACATGTGTTCCACCGCAAGAAGACCGTTATAACCTCTAAACAAAAAAGAAAAGAAAAGAAACGAGAACTTACAACCACTGTTAACTACCAAGTATTTTACAGCGCACACAAACATAAATATTGTAAATCTTCGTCATCATCAGTAAGCCTGATTCATAAGTTGGTACAACCGATGTTTTCCAGTCGTCAACACATCAAGCAAATCCCAATATGACAACCATTGCATATTGTCTGACCACATCCAACCGATCTTGGTCTTTATCCATTGACGTTCCTAGGTCCTGACATACATAACTACCACATGCCTCATATAAAAGATACAACTTCACCATCATCGTGTTTCCCATTGAGCTTTCAGAAGACGCGCAACCTGAATGACACATTACTGCAGAGGAAAAACATGTTTAAGGATGGAAATGCAGAAGAAACACTGTTTTTCAGTCAACCAGCAATCTCCAAGTACATCCTACCTGAACACATGGGCTGAGGCGCCTCATTATCCTTTTTAGACAAGTACATATTTGCTTAAAGACTTCACCTCCAGTATGAGCTGTGGGACACAAAGAACTTGTAATCATGGTGATTAACTTGCAAAAGCTGGAGCCAGTTATCGGCAGCCTGTAATAGAGAATTGAGCTTTTGACACTCATAAACTCCATTTGGATTCCACATAGAAACTTTAAACTTATAAGAAGCAAGCCCAAAGATTGGTAAAGATAGCTTTGAAGATATGCCAGCACTGTGAACTTCCCTAACCGTAGAGCAATGAATATGTGGCCAATCAGTGCTCGTACCTGAGCAAACACGGGAACATTATCATGAATAGTGCATGGGCAAGAAAATGTGTACTAGCTATAGACACATAAAAGGGAAAAATAGTGTGAGGGATGGAGAGAGAGGCATACTTTTGAAGGCTGTTGACAGGGAATGGAACGTTAAAAAACAGGCATCAATATTCTGCAGAGTTGGACCTGTGGGTATCCTATATATAGGATACCTTCATCAAGAGTGCACAAGAATACTTAATCAGTTAATGAAGTTGACAATCGCATCAAGGAAACATCTTATGCCGAGATAAAAATAGCTTACCAAGCCACAGAAACCCAACTTGCAGGTGTCAAATCACAGCTCTTCAATGTATTCAGTTCTGGAAATCGAGAAGCAAGGACCGATATCTGCTGGAAGGCAGGAGATATACATGTTATAACAATGATAAAGCAAGGCAAGTTTGTCCTTTTTTTTTTACCACTGAAAGCAATGCAAATTCAATGTGCTAATATCCATCAAAATAACAGACTTGCCTTATCAGCCAAAGGTTCACGACTATATGGCTGATCCTGCTCCAAATATTCAAATATAAGCCTACCAGGAGGATTGCTAATCTCGCTTTCACCAATTGAAGATCCCATGAAGATATTCTCTCTCAATGAGACTCTATCAAAATTTTGGATTGTTGCAATTATGCGTTTTTGCTGGCTCCAACCACCCTCAACACCATTTACTCCACTTTCTGCTCCAGAATCACTATCACCATCAGTACTTGTCTCCCTGGATGACTCAGAATCACTTTCTTCACCAGGAACCCTGTCACAAGAGAGCGAGAAATATGCCATACAGTATTTAGACCTACTAGGGGAACCAACCACCAAAATAAGTGAATGAGAAAAGAAAGCACTACAAATGATGTTATACATGTTGATCTCAAAATGTCTGCATCATAGCTCTTTCTAGTAAGGTAGGTGACACCAGCATTTTTAAGACCGAATGGCATCACTGTATAGCAGTACATCTAAAATAGAGTTCTAAAAGGCGTGTGACTTTGTCGTTTAGATCCTTTTTTTGTTGGTTCCATTTGTTAACTCGAATTCTAATTATGAACTCTGTTGGGAAAAAAAGAACAAAAAGGCCTTGCTATGACCAAACTCTAGCATGACAGACATGGGGTGGGGGGTGTTTAGATCCAGAGCCAGAGGGAGAGAGGGAGGACAAGTATAAGCTTACCGTAGCTGAGTGAAAGGCCTTGATGGGTCTATATACAGCTGAATGCCAGACAAGTATGGCACGTAGTATTGGACAACAGAGTTGCTCCCGTTTAACATAAGAGGAACTCCAGCTCCATATGCACTCCACTCCCCAAAAGATTCCCAAAGATCACCAAGGATGAAGTATGAATGGAATTCCTCTTCATGTGTTCTCCATCTCCTCATGCTCTAAAATTTTCCAAATGTCACCAGAGAGAGTACAAATCATTCATCAAAACACAATAATCTTCCTCATCGAGTATCATGAGGTTAGAAATATTTACAGATCACAAAACTTAGACTTTATCTCTAAATACATAACTCTTGATGGTAAAAACCTAGGACATAATCATGAATGTTCAAGCTCGTGATATCAAGGACCTGAAAAATTAACAATTTCTACCAGCTAAGCTTAACCTCTCTTCTCAGCTTACCCATTACAGCCCCATCATCGGATACACTTCTAATATGTCTGATATTGGAGAATCATATCAAAATGCAGAGTGATTTGTCTACTTCGTTAATAAGGTATGCAAACCAACTTCAAGTCCTTCGTAGGATCCACTCTCCTCCAAATTCAACAGAAATCCTTAATTTATCTTGCTAATTTGTAGATTAGACAAGCAAATAATACAGGGAAAGTCTTCCCAATTAAGTACGCTAAAGAGAGAAAAGGTCTGTGCTCAAGTGATCCCAACACGAACTACTTGACTCGGGTATCCAATGTTTCAAATCAACAATCTGGAAGATAATGATCAGAGATTATATATTTTCCTTTATCATTTCCCCCTTGTCTCAGTGAACGAACAAAGATTAGAAATTTAACATACAAGAAGCAAGAAAGCACATACACAAATACATAATTACGTTTTTATTGCATTTCAAAATTTTCTCAGCACCCAAAAAACACGAAAATAAATTAGAAAAACCCTAATCTTGGATTTGCCCAATACCTTAGAAAAATGCTGAACTGGAACTAAAGGGGTAGTGTGCTCCATAAGCCGATCCAAATTCGTCAAATCACTACTCATTCTCGGCGACGCCTGAAACGATGTCGTCGTAGTCCACGATGCACAATCATCAGAAGACTCAATTCTCTTCTCCGACTCCACCGACAAGGACTTGGACTTCGTCGTCGTCGACGACAACTTCTGCGATTGACGCTTTTCTTGGTTGTACCTTCTCATCGCCGGTGGACTATAGAACCGGTCTTCACCAGCCCGACTACGGTACAACCCCCTAGAAGCCGACATTGCAGAAAATTTGATCAAATTCAGAGGGTATGTGAAATTCAACTCCTAACTAAAGCTTGGATTAAAGTCGTATACTCCAATGTGTATGTACTAGTAGAAGTCGATTTAACATTGAGAGGGGTTTATCTGAATTTGGGTTTCGATTTTTTCAGGGTTTTGCAGGAGAGAGAGAGGTGGGCGTTTGTTATGTTTGTCTTGTAAGAGAAGACGCGAAGGGAAGGCGAGAGAGAGGGACAAGCAGAAACCGAGTGAAAAAGAGGGTTCACCTTTATTGCAGTGTACCTTGTTCCAGAGAATTCTAGGTTTTAATTACAGGAAATACCCTCTTTCATCTTAAAATATTATTTTGACTTAGTTTAAAACGCAATTTATTTATTTATTTTTAGGTTAACCTTGATGGTACAAAGGTGTAATTTTATTTTTGATTTTATGTTAATAAATGAAATAATGAAATATGAATTTTGGTTATAAAATTTAAAATATTTGATATTTTATCTTTTGTTAAAAATTTTTTGGTCTAAGTATAATATTTTAAATTTATAGGGTCTAAATATTACACGTATATAAACTTTAGAATATTTAAATATAATTTATTAACAAATTTTTATACAAACATTAATGAGTCTGTATGTTATATTTTAAATGTCAAAAGTTGAAAGTAATTAAATAATAAACTTTAAATAGCTTGAGTATAATTCTCTTATTTTATTAATATAAAAAAAAATTTACATCTAGCTGGGCAGCTTAATGAGCCTTATCCCTCAAATTCATGCAAAGCTACATCATTTAAAAATGGGCAATGTTATTTGAGAACTTAATGCGAGATTTTAATAATGTAATTTTAATGTAATTACTAGATTAATTATGAATTTTAATGTTAGATGAAGCTCACTACCAATCAAATAGTTGCGGCTCCAAATAGTATTTTTCTTTAAAAATAAAAAGAAAATTTGGAAGTCGGTACAATTTTTTAGACTTATTTAGGTTAAAATACAACTCAAAATCTTATTTAGGGTAAAGTGTATATTTTATGAAAATGCCAATATTGTCATTCGTTAGTCAATGGAAAATGTATAAAACCTTTTGTATTCTTCCGTATATTATGGGTATAAGCATTTAGTGGGAGGTTTAAACAAGGGATTTAGTTTATCAAAATAGTTTCAAATTCTGCATCCTCATTCTTCGGCAACATCATCCTGCAGCATCCTGTTGAATATTGAACGACCAAAGAGTACTCCAACTGTTCATCTTCGCCGACATTGTCCAGAAGCACTTCATCTTCTTCGGCACTTCTTCACCAAAAAATTGAGGTGACATTCTATTTTTTTTTTTTTGGGAGGGGGGTTTCATTAATTGATTAGTTAGTTTTTTTTTTTGTTCATAAACTGTGTAAGTTGATTCAAAAAAATTACAAAATCGTAAAACCCTAATTATGTGAAATTATATTACGAATTTGCAGATTTATTTTAGCATATTTATATGAAATTATATGAAAATTGTTATGTAACTATTTTAAGTAATTATTTGAGATTCAAATGTATACAGTTCATATTCAAAACTTTAATGGATTTAACTATGCTCTGTAACTATTCTCCTAATGTTAAGGATTGAATTCTTGCAAGTCTGTCATTATCAAAACTTTATTTATACTTGTTTTTTAAAACTCAAATAGTTTTGTAACTGATTTAAGTAACTATTTGTCTTTCAAATATATACTGTTTTAAATCAAAATTTAATGGGTTTGACTGTGTTGTGTTACTATTTTCCTGATTTTAAGGAATCAATTCTTACAAGTATGTCATTGGAGATTTTATTGATCCATCAACTATTTAGTTTACTAAAAACATATTCATAACTGATTGAAGTAACTATTTGAGCTTCACATTTAGACAGTGCATATTCAAAAATTAATAGGTTTAAATGTGTTTCGAAACTATTCTTCTGATATTTTTTGACTGGATATGGCGTCCAAATTGACTCAAATTCTCTGATTCTGGTGAATACTGTGAGAGTTAAGGTGAGATATTTTTGGCCTTATATAGGTATCCTTGATCAAATTATGCAGCTACTTTGCAAGATTGTCTTTCATCTACAACATGGTTACAGGGGATCAATTTGTGTAGCTAATGCATTAGCTAGTCAGGCATAAATTGATGGGTTTTCTTCTATTTTTTGAGTTTGATTGTGTTGCATAACTATTCTTCTCCATTAACTAAAAACATGTATGTAATTGATTGAAGTAACTATTAGAGTTTCACATTTAGACAATGTATATTCAAATATTAATGGGTTTAAATGTGTTTCGAAACTATTCTCCTGATATATTTTGACTGCATATGAAGTCAACATTGACTCAGATTCCGTAAACAGTGCTTGACTTGAGATCTTTGTATCTGAAAGCTCTTGGGATTGTAACAAGCGCTGCTTTTAACTAAAAATAGTTACTATGAGCAATTAAATTACAATGTTCATTAAAAAATTGAATGAATCCCACTCTGACGAATTAAAACAGTTACCAATGTGTGGAATAATGGTTATGTTTATATATGTACACCATTTATTATTGTTTGATAACCCATTATAGTTGATGGATTAAATAGGTCATGGTGAAGAAAGAAGTTCAAATAAAAGACCTGCTATAAGGGGTATCAAAAAAATTCCACATCAGGAGTCGCAGGCATCAAAGACAAATGTTGAAGTAGATGACAACCAAAGTGAATTAAACATCATTGGTGCAAGGTACAAGCCGCAATACAGATCAAATATGCTTGTCATTATTAAGGCAATTGAAGAATTTAAGTTAAATGAGTATCACAAAACAGCGTTGAAAAAAACTCCCTTCTGGTTGCTTTTTGAATGTATCATTGACAAAACTATAGACAAAAGATGGTGTCGTAAAAGTGACAGCTGCATTACTATTATGTTTCAATTCAGATACTTCAAGATTCAATATCGGCAACAAAAAACTGAGATTGTGGCCTAGTGAAGTGACTTTGATATTTGGGATACAAGATGACTGTGAAAAGATTGATTGTACAATACATGAAAAATCGTTTACACCCTTTACATAACGCTGGTTCAAAAAAGATCAGAGGTTGACAGCAACATTGATAAGAAACAAACTAAGACACGCGTCTGAAATTGATAGTAAAGCTGGTTATGAGGACTTGACTAGATTATTATATATGTATCTATTGACAACTTTTTTTTTTCCTGTAACGGGAAACACAATGAGTTGGGGGTTGGTACAATATATTGAAATTTTGGAGGCATGTAGAAAATACAATTGGTCTGAAACTATAACTGATACTTTGATTTCATCATTGAAGAAGAAGAAGGAAACGCCAACGGCTGTCAATGGATGCGTCCTCCTAATACCGGTTAGTGTTTTAACAAAAGTAATATGTTAATTTGGGAATTGAAATTACTTTCCTATTACCCAATATGATCTGATTATCGTAATCTTGTATGTTGAAGTACTAGTTGTGTGAACACACCTCCATGATGACCCCCAACATTGAAAGGTCGTTCCCTCGGTTCCTAAAATGGAACTTACCAAGTCTGAATAGGGGAATCAAGCAAAAAAGTTTGGCAAACATCTTGGCAACTGATGTAAGTATCAATTCATATATAGTTATCCATATAACTTGTAAATGTTTTAAAGAAATTTACTCTGTAACTGTTTATTGATTAAAAGTATTTTACATGCAGATTATGAAGCAAAAATTGAAGAAAATTAAGGAAGAAAAGATGTTTATCTCATCGAAGAAGAATGCAAGGAAAAAGTCAGAAAAAACAATGGAGATGGAGTTAGATGACAATGAATAACTTGACACAAAAGACAGTGGTGTTGGCACGCCATCAAGTGATAAATATGAATACTCAAATGAAATGAGACATTTGGTTGACTTAGTTGAAGTGAATGTTATCGAACCAAGAGAAAATGACAACCAATTAACAGTACATGATTTTTGGAATGACACTGACAAGGACAACATTAGAAGAGAGAGAGATGAAGCTCAAAGGATTGTTTATTAGTTGATACTAAAGGATAAATTAAACCAAGAAAAGATTGTCGAGTTGTCCAATGAGAATGAAGAGTTGAAAAGACGCATGCAAGACACTGTTGACATGGTGCATCACAAGGTATATATAAAGTTAACTGTTATAACATCGTATCTTTGTTTAATTTTCATACCTTTACTTGTTGTAGCTCTATGAGAATTTGGTGCAAAAATTTTTGAATCTTGTTGTGTGTAACTGTATTATGTCTGATTAGTGAAAATGTTTGTGTAGTTACTTATCTATTAAATTCACCTATTTGGGACTTATGCTTATGTAACTATCTACGCGATGGTTCTTGTGTATCTGTTTTTGGTGTAAAATAGTAACTGTGTGCTTTAACAATTTTGATACATATTGGATAGTTAGCTATGTGTGAAATCCTTTTGGTACATATTTGATTAACTGTTTCTTATTCTTCATGGTTTGTTTTAGGATAACTATTGTACTATCTAATATGATGTAACTCTATAGTGTAACTGTTTTGTGTGTAACTGTTTTTGGTTATTGTTTCTATATTGCTTAACTGATTTTTTCTTGATGATTTGATGCAGCAGGCTGAAGTGCAACAAGACATTTCATTGAATAAAGACACAAAAATCGAGCAGCCTGAGACGTTGATTCATACGATGCATAACGAAAAAGCCGCAATTGAGGCCGAAAATGTGTCATTAAAAGAGAATGTCAAAATTTTAGAAGCTGAAAATGCAAATTTAATAGATCAAATAAATGAGTTGACAATCCACAACATCTCTCAGATGATGCAAGCCACCAAGCCTAATGACAGTGCAGATATTGGTCAAACGTCAATGGTCCGAAAGCTGAAGACTAAGGAAAAGAAGAGAAAAAGATATGAAGATTACGAGTATAGCAATAAGAAAAGGGACAAAGGACACATTGAGGCTTCACATTCAATTATCACCCTTGCAGATGAAACAGAAAAGATCAGTGCAGCGAAAGAAAAAGAGAAACATGATAAGGAAATTGCAAGGTTATGGAAGATTTGTCAAAAATCGAATCCGTCTATCTACAATCAATTAAAACAAATCAATGATACAGAAGGATCTACGTAAGTATATTATATATTATAATATTTATGTATTACGCTATAGTTATTTCGTTAAAATTTGTGGATTTACTCATTGTAA